CCAGGGGTCTCTTCCCACTCTGGGGAGGGTCTCCCAAGTCAAGGGGGGGTGACTCAATTCCCAGAGGGTCTCCAGGGGGGTGACTGAATTTCCAGGAGGTCCCTCAAGGCGAAGGAGGGGGTTCCCCAGCCCAGGGATCTCTTCCCACTCTGGGGAGGGTCTCCCAAGTTGAGGGGGAGTGACTGAATTCTCAGAGGGTCCTGAGGGGAGTGACTGAATTCCCGGGGGGTCCCTTGAGGTGAGGGGGGGTGGTTCCCAGCCCAGGGGTCTCTTCCCACTCTGGGGAGGGTCTCCCAAGTCAAGGGGGAGTGACTGAATTCCCAGGGGGTCCCCCAAGGCAAGAGGAGGTGACTGAATTCCCAGGAGGTCCCCCAAGTTGAGGGGGGTGGTTTCCCAGCCCAGGGGTCTCTTCCCACTCTGGTGAGGGTCTCCCAAGTCGAGGGGGCTGACTGAATTCCCAGGGGGTCCCCCAAGGTGAAGAGGAGTGACTGAATTCCCAACAGTTCCCCGGGAGGGGTGACTGAATTCTCGGGGTTCCCCAGGGGGGTGACTGAATTCCCAGGGGGTCCCTCAAGGTGAGGGGGGGGGTTTCCCAGCCTTGAGGGGGGGGAGTCTCTTCCCATCCCCGGGGTGGGGAGCGTGTGGGGGGTGTCGCTCTCACCCCCTGACGAAGAGGACGGCGCTGACCAGCGCGAAGCCCGCCAGGACGAGGATGACCTTGGGCACGCGGTGCCCGGGCTCGCCCAGCTCGCGGGGCAGCACCTCCAGGGTGGTCACGTAGAGGAAGGTGCCCCCGGCCAGGCCCTGCAGCACCGCCCGGCACAGGCGCTGCCTGGGCCCCGCTCCCGCCGCCGCCAGCGCCGCGCCCGCCCCGACGCCCAGCGGGCACACGAGGGCCAGCAGCGCCAGGCACGCGGCCACGGCGGGCGGGCGCAGCCGCAGGCGCAGCAGCTCCAGGGCGAGGCCGAAGGCCACGGCGCCCTTGTGCAGCAGCAGCGCCAGCAGCACCCGCAGAGCCGCCGCCCCGCCCGGCCGCAGCCCCAGCGCCAGCCCCTCCAGAGCCCCGTGCAGCGCCAG